TTATGCTAATTCATTCCTAATACAATACATCTTCTGTTGTGTAATATTACGGCTCCCCCGTGATAATTTACGTGCTGGGGTATTTTTTTATTTTTTGAGAAGTTGGGATTTTTTTTGTATATATGGCAAAAGTTGCGGCATTTTTTTTATTCTTCCTTTTATCTCACACTCTGGTTATTGATTATGGTAGAATGTTTATATTTGGTATTTGTTATACCCAATTTTATCCTTAAATAGCAATGCGACTGCTTCTGGAGGAATCGTACAACAAATATTTTGCGTTTGGTAATTTTTCTATGTGCAAGGAGGTGGGCAAACCTGTCCGGATAGACTATGGCATGAATGAGATCGAGTATACTTAATCTGCAGAGGGATTACATTGATCTAGATATTTTGAAGTTTCTATTGTGTGCATGCGCGCCTAAAAGAGAAAATGAACGCTGGACGCGTATTGATGTCAGCAAGCACAAATACCATTGAGAAAACGTAGGAGACGCAGAACCAGTATAGGCTCAACGATGTTTGGTGTCGCGAAAATCTAATTATATGTGGTGGTGCTAATTTTGATTTTCATCGAGGTGTTCGGGAAGTTACAGCTTAACTATATCTCATAACGAATCAAATATTAATTTTGAGATCAAGATGAAGCTCATCGCTCACTTTTGTTCTTAAAGCCTGAAAGGATTGTCCGCAAGTTTGCGGCGGTAAAGTTTGATCCCAGAATGAATTGCGTTGTCTGAAACTGCACTGTTAGCGACTTCAAGGTTTCCAGCGAAGTTTTAGTTTTCAGGTTTGTGATTGAAATGTTGGCTTCTATGGTGCTTCTTTTATTGTTGTCAATGGACTCATTCCAACACGACTGCTAGATTTGAAGTGGATGCGTCAATGCTGGCCGCACTCGAACTCATGCCACCTCAAGATACTTTCCAAGAAGAAATCTCCAGCCTCTCGCAATTAAAGCATGATGTGAGGCACCTCAGTAACATTGAAGACAATAAAGACTGGCTCTCCCGAAGAAAAATTATGACTGTGATGTTAGTGCTGACCTGGAGAGCTACCTTTCACGGAGCGATGCGTATTCCAGAAGCACCTGTTCTTTTTCAGTTTGACCTGTTTCATTGACAGTGATTCCATATGCCGTGGTTGTTGTTCTAATGTTGGATAGTTGAGTATCAGCGCAACTCTCTTTGTGTCCTTTTCGGTCCCATCTGCAAGGTTTTCATCAGTGCCAACCATCAATCTTGCCTCTCTGTATCAAGTCTTGAGTGGCAAAAACTGTTCAGGGGACTATGGTTACTAAAATCTGATTGAAAACCACTCAGTAACACTGTGTAGATTAAGCACTCACCGGCAAGCAGAGTCTTCGACTAGCATCATTGTTGTAATCAGGGTGAAAGGTTTAGACTTAAATACTTCGAGTCACAACTCGAAGACTTTAAAAGAAGTTAACCTCTCAAGTACGTACACGTCAAAAGCCGATCCTCCATCAGCTTTTGTCCGGTTGGATCACTGCACCTGCATAAACCGAACGGAGATGTCACCAACTGAATATGATCGATATTATGGTGTTGACCACTAGAGTAGCCTGCGAGACCCGACTTGCCAAGCGCAGTGAATTGTATTGGACTGCCGTTGTGTCCTTTCGTCATGTTGACATCCAATATGAATGGAGCGACCTCTGACAAAACCCTTCTGATCAGGATGAATCAAGTTGATGGGTATTTCACATGCTTTGCCATCGCACGCTCTGACAGCTTCTCATAATAAATGTCTTCCTAAACATGGGAAGTCCATTTTGTATAGTTTGTTCAATGCATGCCTTACAGACAAATTCATTCAAAGGTAGATTTGAATATAGCAAGCGCACTTTTTTGCGCTTTTTTCATACGTCCATAAAGCGATATTGATCCTTTTCTCCCACGATGAGCGTTTTCTGCCTCATCAGAAAAACTATTTCGCACCGGGCCTTCCATCTGATGTAATCCAGGAGTACTGCTCGTAAATCCTTCTCCGCCGCTACGCTCGCAATAAAAGTGTTTGACGCACTGGACGCGTACCATGGCAGATTGTGGTGAATTCATACCCTTACACCACTTCCGCACTATTTGCGCTCTAATACATGAATGCTCTTTTTCGTCAATTTTGCCTCGAAGTAATAAATGTGTCAAGTCCTCGAGCTGGTCTTCCATCTTCTCGATATCCTCGCTAAAGCTGTGGTGGGTTTGAATAACGTCAACACGTTTGTAGCGTTTGCGACGTTTTTTATCTTCAATTGCATCTGTTGAGGCTGATTTGCTGTGTCCACTGCCGCGTAAAGGATTACTAATATAAGCAGACAGCCCCGAGACCGGGTTATTGCTGTAAGGCTTACCCGTTATAACATTTGATGCTAAAATGGTAGTGAGACGCTCTGCCTTTGAAGGCGATGCTGGTGCACTAGCAACCTTGCGCTGCTTCATTTTTGCATCTTCAAGCTGATGTCGCATCTCGATTTTCTTGGCTTCAAATGCCGCAAACCGTTCCATCACTTCGTCTTTATGGATCAACCGAAACTCTTCCACAATGTCCGGTTCCAGTTGGTCTGTGATAATCAGGCAAAAGTGTAGAAACTTATCCATTTCAGCCGTCGTCTTCGTCATTTCCTGCGCAAAATACTCGTTGATCGCCAGTAGCACTTCTCCTGCATCTTTAGCATCTAACAAGGTATCGCGCAAAATAAAAAAAATTGACATTCCTACCCCAAGAAGTACGCGCGATGCGCGTTGCTTTTCTTTGGAGCGGGCTAAAAGCATGTCAATGACCTTCAGTCCACAAAAGGATGGAAGCGATGTGAGAAAGCAAGTCACAAGCCACTTCGTGCACAAAATCTCCATGTTCAGCCCCAACTCACTTAAGTGAGCATGCAAATCGATGTCATTTTGCTGCAACAATGTATTCATGACAGCACAATCAGTGTGCAGTCCAATCATTGAGTCCACATGATAAGCAGGCAAAAGCACTTCGATTAATAAAATGAGTGCTTGAAGAGCTTGATCTTCATCCAAATACTGCAAAAGTACAACTAAGATTTCATTCATACCCTGGCAATACCCAACGCGACGATTGCGAGTAGCAAATGCAGTGAGTACTCGACGCATTGGAATCACTTGATCAATACCTAAATTGCGTGTCCTCCGTATGTCATTTTCAATTGACTTTACCGTCTCACGATCTAAAAGTACTTCCTCATCATCATTTCTAGCATCCGAAAGAGCTCGAGACACATCTGAAGGCACTGAAAGCTGGCTAATCAAGATGGGCCAAATCCATGATCGATGGGCATCTGGTACACCGCTCATACTGTGTCTGATAACATCCTTCGACGCTCCTGATGACCGTAGCCGCTCCCACAAATCGTTCTCATTTTTTGTATTATAATCAATGACTTGGCTTGCATCGTCGCTTTCGTTCGTTGACAATGCATTGCCAGGAATTGGGCTCGGCAAAGTCACACTACGAGACAAAATCGAATTATGTGCTCCGTCGGTACATCGAAACGAAAAGTTGCGCACCGGAGACGAACTTCGTGGCCGTCGACAGTTGAACTTGCTGTTTTTTCTGTATACTCGATCTGGTATTTCTTTTTCTAACAGTGTCGTTATAATTCCAATTTCGGCATCGTCATCGCATCTATCATCGTTTTCGCATCTATCATCGTTTTCGCATCTATCGTCGTCATCGCCATTATCGTCACCACCGCTGCTTGATGGTGAGCTCCCTTGTCGACTATTGCGTGTACCACTGTTGCTGCCACATCCAGCATTTCCACTGGAGTCACTACGGCTTAAATAATTACTAGCTCTATTCTTGTCTTGACTGGTAGGCATACCAGCTGCATCAACAACATGTTTTCTCCACTTGATAAGTAGCTCGATACCATGCTGCTTAGCTTTACGCGAATGATATGGCCTCTCCACCAATTCTTGCTTTACATTTTTTTGTGTTTTGCTGCTCTTCATCGTATGTAATTCTCGTTGGGCACACTTTCGGTGCTCTTCTTCCTGTGCTAACTGTGCTCGATATTTTTGACGTAGTGTAGCCAAGTCTTCATCATTAATACGCTCATGCATAAAATAAATCAAATCCAGGAAAGACTCGGCTACCGAGTACTCGTTCAGAGTCGTCAAACAGAATTCATTAATCACGTCCAGCACAACTTTAACATCCTGTATTTCTACCAGCGTTGAGCTTAGGTACAATAAAACTGACAGTGACGTCGAGAAAATGACCTTGAAACCCAAACGCCGACTGCACACATCTACAAATAGAATGTCATAGAGGCGACACACAACTTCGAATGGCATCGACTCGGCAAAGAAGGAAAAAAACCACTTTGTACATAGCAGCTGGATGGACACGCCCAGCATTGCAAAATGTTCACATAGCACTGAGTCATGTACTCGCAGTAGCTCTTGCAATACAAGACAGTCTGTATGAAAATCCACAACGGACTCATCAAAGTATTTGGGTAGTAGTATTTCCAAGAACACTCGAAAACTCCAAAAAGCGTCTTCTTCCGCGAGATAAGTACTTAAAACGACACACAGATCAACCATACCATGACAATAGTGAAACGAGCATTGAGACCTGGCATAGGCTAAGAGAATGCGGCGAATTTTGCGCTCTTGAAAAAGATTGAGGTGATGAAACCTCTCGAGGGCCTCCTCCTGTGCCTGTTCCTGTATACTAATTACATCTGCTTCTTGTACATCTTCAGTCCATTCACTTAGTAACTGACTGTACGTATAGTCATTGTTTATATGCTGACGCTGCACCCTGATACTTTGGTCGTGAAGCAGAATTGGCCACACCCACTCGCGATGTTCTGAAGGCACACCGTGCGCGCGAATCGCATCCCAAACTGCGCAATTGTTGGTCAGCGAATGGTGCTCACGGCCAGATCGTCCAACTTCCTCTGCCAGACATCGTGCCTCTTCCTGTAGCTGGCTCCATGCGACCTTCATACGCCGATCAAGGGCTTGATGTGTATAAGGACTCGAAAGCGGTTGTGTTAATATTCGTGTGGTAAGTCATTGATTGCTGCATCAAACTATTACATATACTGGAGTAATGATTTGGGATATATAGTGAGATGTCCGACAGCATTTTAAAACTATCATTTTGTGAAATGGGTAAGCTGCAGAATGTGATACAAATCGAAAAATCTCGCATAATGTGAAAAAAATGTTCTGGTAAATACGACTGCAGGTGGCAAGATATACCGCAGACTCTTTACGTTGTGGAGATTCAAGCTAATGCCATAGTTGTCAATCTGGGCAGTTTAAAAGCTCTATCGCCATCACGATTTTTACGGCGATCTTGTGACTGCTGCGCATTTTTGTGAGTGTGTCAAACATTTGAATCTTGTAATGCAAAATATTCGATTAGAATCACATTCTGCAATGTACACTTGTGCAATATAAGACGCCTCGCACTCTGGAATGAGTCCAAAACAACGTTAAAACAGCTTCAGCTAATGTTATGGCTGACTCGAAACCCTAGATTACATAGGTGCTGCTCCCTTTTTTCTCTAAAGAGCAATGTATCTCGCGTGGCCAATTAAAATCTGTCAAAGCTTTAAGACCCATTAATCAAGCCACTTGCTCAAACTATGAACAACCTCTCCCAGTGAACACTGCAGCAGTCATCATGATGAATTACCCCAGAGAAGTGGAGGTGTGGCAGGGTATGCACCTTATTATGGCGTATGTACACTCAGAAGTACCATGGAAACGTACCATGATTCAAAATTATAAATAGTACAACCAGGTTGCCGTGCTTCTTACACGACGATAGCTTCGACGGAAAAGGTTCGCGTTAGCAAACGAACAAATGATGATTTCGTATTATGCAGCGGGGCTGCCGTAGCAAAACGCTTGAGGAAGCGTACTTTAGGTCATCGACATTTCGTTCTTTACAAGAGCCAAGTATGAGTTAGCGGATTGCAATCCGCTTACTCCAAGAGTAATTTTTGCCTTCCCAAGGCTAATCGACTCTTCCGTTTAAATTCCAAACTGATTTTTAATCCTAATTCTAAAGGTTAGATTTTCCTAAATATACTAAATATATATAGTAAAATATGAATACATGCATAACTACTGGCTACCTAGCCCCGTACCGTATTCTTGTTTGATGTGTGGTCACACCATGCACATCTCGTGTGACAGATACCCCTGTTATTAGGGTTCGTGTAACCCCTTTACATATAACCTACCAGGAGCGAGGATGAGAGTCTCTAGACGAACAAGTTTACTATGTTGATATGCGGTTTTCAAGAGTGACATGTACTCTATCTGATTTCATACGAAATGCAAACCTTATGCTAAATCTTAAAATAAAGCTATCTAAACAGCTTGACGAGAGGCTTATAGTCCACGTATCCCACCAACCACTCTCTGAGAGTCTAATCGACCACAAAATTCATCAGTACTGGTTTTTCGATTTTTTATTAGATCACAATTGTTTGTTAATTTTATGCGAATTATTGCGCAAAAATTGCTCAATACTACATTAAACAACTAAATGACCGCGTAAGGTGCACCCTGCGCAATAGTATACAGCACGTATATCGGTATATTTTACCCAACTAAGATCTGAACACTGCACTCGTCCCACCCTCTGCATACGCTTGGTACTTCACGCCCATTTCCTACGGCATTGTTGCGATATCCTGCCGTTAATCTCGTGATGATGTTCAGCCTGTCAACAACGAGCTGGTCCTGGTGCAAATCGACCATCTTATCCATCTGAAATCTGAAATATCAAGAGTCACACTAGCTCTTACCCACTTCATCACATCATGATCATGGAATAATCCATCAAAGCTTGTCCGCCACGCTGATGTAAGAACTTTCGCGCCGAGGCTAAACTGAACACCGAAAGTCGTTTCGCGAGGTCCTTCTGATCGCACAGATCATTACCTCGAAAAAGAACCGCCAGCGCTTAGATATTAAGCAATTTAAAAAAACCGTATCATCCATGATGAAATTATAATGTATTCTGAATGCTAGTGGAAGTGCCGACTTGCCAATCAGTATTGTCTTCAGTTCGCGCACTGATTACGCGGAGCGCGCCCCTTCACCCTCTCATAGTTTTGTAAGACATCCTTAGTGTTGCGTCAAATAGAGTGTCAATCAATACATGACTTCGTGGAGTGCAAATTAAGACGCGGATGCTGAGACAAAATCCCATCACCTCCAGTTCTTGCTACTATATATATTTGGATTTTACAACTAAAAATCATACGAATAATCGAGTGATGGTGTGAAGATGTAACAGCTCCCTCGTCTCCATTACAGCTACCGACTCAATGAAATGATTATAGCATGGTCGAGCGCCAATCGCTAGTGTGCTGTGCGCTCCGCTGATCGTCCCTGCTTCTTCTCTATAAAGGATGAAGGCCGACATGCTCCACTTAGTAACTGGCAACGGCGCCGGCGCAGTCTTTCATCAGAATGTGGCACCAGCTTCCGCGAGCATCAGAGCGAGGTGACTCGTGTCGTTCTACCGATTTATGTTGCAGCCCTGGTTTACCAAACGTTCCACGAGAAGTTAACCATTGAGCAGCGCTGGTTGAAAAGCCTATTCCGTGTTTGGACTTCCTGGACTATATTGGTCGTGGCGGCACGTCGACCCTCTCCAAGGGTCTCGGCATTAGCCTAATAGTGAGATGGGTCAGATTTCGGATGCAAGCTTTGGGTACGCCATCGCACTGTGTGCACTCAGCGATTATGGATTTTTTTGCCTCTCCAGAGCAGAGGAAAGCTTTGCTAAAAAGTATGTCAGCGGCGCTTTTTCGCCTCAACAGAGCGCTTTCATTCGACATGCTCGTAAAAGCGAGATAGTGGTGTGGCTTTGGTGTGCACTCATATAAGAAAGAGTGTATTTGCATTCAATTTAGAAAAAGTAAGGTACATAGCTCAATACCATTTTCGCCACAATCGTAAATGGTGCAACGTGGCGTGCTCCCAAGTTGTCTGATAGACCACAGAATCTGTAAATGCAGTAGGGTAACTGCAGTCATTGAGTGCAATTATCTCATCCCATTTCATTTGATTTCGCCTGCCTCTTGCATCAACGTGTTGCTTTCGCGCATCCTACTTCTCAGCCAAGGATCGTGCACCCAGCACATGACACTAAATCTTATTGGAATGAAGTCATTGAGTTTGACGAATTTAGCCGGGTTGATACTAGCAAGACGAATAAGATCGCCGAATCCTCCTCTTAAAATATGATTGCGCTTTGTGGTAGTGTCAGATGCACATAGAGTCTTCCAATCTGTTCGTGAAGGATGGAGTAAAGCCAGTTTGGACTCAATGAGTGGTATCTACTCACTCAAGTGTTAGTGCTTCAGAGCTCATCTTCTATATTGCACTTCACTCGCTCAGCTTGGCCATCTACTTGCGAATGGTCAGTGGCTGGAGCCTTCAACCTTCGAGCACCTTGAATAATGTTTGCCAACCGTTCACAATGTCAATCTGGATTGCGAATTGTCAGCGGTCAAAAATTCAATTATTGGTTCGAGCTCCTTGAGTAATGTTTGCCGCACTTTGCGCTTTACGCGAATCACTACTTGATCCAATGGCTACCGGTTAGGCGTGATGTAAATCATTTTGTCGAGGAGCAACTTTGTTATATCTTCACCTTGCATAGTATCGCTGACAGCAACGAGAGTATCCATCTTGCTCGGACGAACCATAACAAACACAATACGGTTTTTCGGGCGAGTCTTTTGAATCCCAAAAGGAGAGCTCTACTGATGGACCCCCAACACTTTGTTGGAGTTAATAGGCTTGCCAAATGATACAGCAAACTTGGTTGATGGGGTAACAGTGCAAACGTGTAATCGTGTGTTTGAAAAACTATGTGAGCTAAATTACTTATTTTCTTGCTGCACATAGCTTTCATTGACGCAGCGCATGTTGGGTATGACCCGTACGCTGTACGTATCGCCTTACCAATCGACGACGTTACTATGATGACATGGGCAATAAAATGTCGGCGCGACACGAAATACATATACTGCCACTAAGCCAGCCCGCTTGCAACTTTTCCAAAACAATATGTACGGCAAACAGGAATAAAACTTGCTATCTTCTGTGATAGATGTAGTGACGACACCGCTGTGAATGTTTTGTGTTGTTTACAAGCAGCTTCGAGCCATGAGAGTACACTGGGAACTTGACAATGTGACGCTCTGTCGCAAGGCTTTCTGGTCTTGAACAGAAACTTCTTCTCAACAGCTCGCTTGGCGAGACTTAAACACGACCACACGTTCATGTATATCGGCATTTGCATAACGAAGAGCCTATGATCAAGCGAAAGCAACATAAACGGAATGAAATGAATGTTCTTAAATTGAAAGACTCAATTTCGATGTGTAGGAGGCTTGATTTCACAGCCTAATAGGTCGTCTCTTTGATATGCACCAAATCCAATGCGAACGTTTTCAAAGAAGAATACCAAGTCAGGTTACCTATCTGTAGATTGTAAAGTTATGTATCTCGTTCAATAGGTGGCCAGTTCGTACAACTTTCTTTAACTGCTTTGCGACAGGGGTACTGATCAACTACAGAAACTTGTCGACGCTAATGCCACACTTGTCTGTATTGGTAAACTTATTGGAGTGTTTATACTCAAACATGGATCGCAAATGTCTAATGTGGCTATCTACATCTTTCTCTCCGTGCTCTGTCCGACGGTTGACGAATATATCGCCGAAATAGGACTCTGCATAGTCAGGTTCTGGTTTAAACAGCCGTGTCACTAGAAATTACACGTCGCCGACGCATTAACATATCTTTGTGGTATATTTTACCACTCCCAGAGAATTCCTTCCGGAGTACATACCGCAAAAATGTTATACCGCTATCTCATCAACAGTTCTATCCGCCCGTCAACCAGGTCAACGGCTTCAAAATAAGTACAGCCGATCATGCTGTTCTGTAACTTATCTATCCGGAGAGATAGCGTATGTGCTGAATTTATGGCTTACTTAACGCAAGCATGCGCAATTTGCTGCTAGCAGCGTGGCACAAAAAGTAGAACCTGAATAGAAAGATTCAACCTCTCTCGCTAAACTCGCTTTGTACTTGGAAAGGAAGGATATTGCCGTGTGAAGCAATATTTAATCCAGAACCAAAACAAAGCTATGGCATACTCCCCTAACCGAGAGAAACTCGCGCAATCACCAAGTCGTATTATTCCTCCTTAAGAGTATAAAGTAGGCCTGATAAGGCCTTGACGATATAGCTGTTCTACTCCTTGCAATCAGTTCTTGGCACGAGTCTTCAACGAAACATTCAATCATGCCGGAAGGCACCTCGGCTCCTCCTTCAGTCCAAACCGAGCCATGTCGGTAGCTTCACCGTTCTGCAATTCTTGGTTTATAATTATTAAGGCTAGTTTTTATATCTCAATAAGAGCTTCTAACGGATGTTGGGCGGAAAATTCGAAAATATAGGTCTACCCGATAACTTTTTGTAGCTTATACAATCGTTGTCGCTACTTACTAGTTGAGATTATTGCTCACAGCACGCACGGTGGATGTGAATTTTTTTTGCGACGGTCGGTCGCTTCAAATCTCCACCGCCAGTGATAGAAGACAATAATTTGCAGCTGCTCTTTATCGTTCCACCAGAAACGCGATACGGGGACATCAAAGTAGAGTTTTTCCCGTCGACAACAGGAATATAATCTGAATACCGTAATGTACAATCTTTCTCATTTGTCTCATATTGAATCCTTGGCTCGCTGCTGCAGTCCTTCTATCTTCTGATCTTTGCTCAAGGCACGAGCAAAACCATTGCTGGACTAATCGGACAATAGCTGTCCTGTTTAGAAGCTGTCGTAGCATCATGTCCGCACCGAAAGCGCTCCTTTTTAGGGGCTAATTTGGCATTATGGTTCGCCAAAAGCTTCACAAGGAGAGAAGTGCGTCTTATACAATTCTTTCAAATCTCAATAGGTCCATGGCTTTTGGCGTTACAGCAGTGCCATATTTAAAAAATCTTATTCTAAACAGTGACGAGGCAACGTTATTTGCTGTAACATGTTCAAGCTCCACTAGATTGTTCAACAGCACTTTCAATATGTCTTCGTTGCAATCAGCACTGATATCGTATAGTGCTTTTGTGTGGTGTGCGCTTTTAACAAAATTGCACGGCGCTCCTGGATCTACCACAACTTCTTACACTCTCACAAAGCCTGAGAAATAACATTAACATTGACCACGCTGTTCGTTGATCCCCGTCAGTCGTATAGAGATTCTCCTATATAGCTAAATGTCATCGACTCGATATCCACGAGGTACAGCGAATTTCATACTCTGGTTGGCCGCCGTGTACTTTCTAGGATCTTACGCTCCCCTCGAAAATACCTTACACGAAAGGCAAAACATGCAAACCTCTACCAATACAGAAGGAATAGCAATAGTTAAAAACTAATACCTCCACACAGAAAACACTGAAGACCATTTGCGCGACCTTTCTTAACCGTAGATTGCACTCTGAGAGCGCCTACTTTTAGTACCCCATCTGCCCCTTTTAACACAAAGCTGTACTCTGCATTCAGCGCCTCATCTTCCGCTTCATAAAACAAGGTACGGTGAAAGGGAGACATCTCGGTGCGAGCTCCACCCATCCACGGAATCAGTTACTGCCTCGAGTGAGGGCCAGACGCCATTTAGCCATGGTGACTCCTACCTCCTGAAAAGTTTACCTTGTTATTGCCCCCGATGACGCGTATAATTCTTTTTAAACGTTCACTATACTCTGACTAAGGCGGCGAGAGCGCACGCGATATCTGTCAATTCACATCTGTATCTGTTAAAAGGCTTCACTTCCACAAAAGTACTTCATTGCAGAATAAATGGCCACATGAGCTTTCCTTAACCAAAACGAGCCTATTCGCGTAGCCACCCTCAAATTTTCGGTCACTAAATATCAGCGGCCTTAAATTGAGACCACCCTTGCTTCCACAAACGCTAGTTTGGAAAATTCCGCGCTAAATTCTTTATAGGCTCCAAACAAGCGATGCTTGCACTTGGTCCTTCTGCAACCTGCTCCTTATTATCAAAAACAACGGAAGCTTATCGACCTAGTCCAGATTTCTTAGAAGCAGCAACAAGTGTGTCAAGCAAAAGTACACAATTTTACAATACTTGCTCCGTTACACATCCATTTGCGACATGCAAACTTCATAGTCTAAATAAGTTTAGCTCTGCAACCCACAGCACTAAGCCGATCCGACATGTCATGGCTAAATTAACCTCTTGTTACGCACTATGCTCATATCAAACTCATCGAAACTAATCCCAATTTACAGCCGTTCTTTTTCGACGCATCAAAGTTAGCGCGGTATGCGATCTCTATGTCCAACTATATATAGCGATTGGAATTCACTTTCGCTGCTACCGTCTCAAATGTTGCTCAATGTTCAAAGCACCATTGTTGCTGACTAATTTGAACAAATTTATATATTGCAGTAAAGCTACTATGGCCTCATACCCGCCCAATGCGCCCTATAGCTGGTCGTTGATTTACAAAGGATTTTTAGGAGAGAAGTACGTGGCATTAGTTATCTTCCTGTTGATCCATGCTTGGTGGCTTTTCGGTCGAGACATACTAACAATACCATTGTAAATTAAATCCAGGCCGAAGTACTAGACAGGGCAAAGCTCGGAAATGCTACGGGAAACTATGAAAGAGTCCCCGAGAATTCTACTTGTGCCCATCATGAGCACATTCATATATCTTCTGTATTTGGCAACCTCTATGCCCCGACAAATTGTTCTTTATTTTGGCAGTCGCGTATCGTACATGATTGTCTAATGCTCGTATAAAAGGATTTCAATACTTTTCAAAATGATGTGAACATCCTGAAACGCTGAACTGAGACGCTGTAACGGAGTTACACGTACCCGTGTATGAAAGGGGGATCACACAAGATGGTGTGACCGTACATACGTATAGATTTCACAAGTTAGTGTAATTACACAATTGTGTGGCTACACCGTAATACGAAGCCACTATGTGGCAGGACTGCCAATATTAAACAGGCTTTACTATCAATTAGAAAATCTTAGGTCTTAGATATAGGCGGCTCTGCTGCAAATATAATAACTTCACTTTTGAACGGAAGAGCATCGTTACCTTGGTTAAGGTATTAAGAACTCTTGGAGGATGCGGATTGCAATCCGCAGCACACGTACTGGTTCTTGTATAGAACGTAAGGTCGGTGACCTTGGCTTTCTAGCTACGACAGCTCCGCTGCATAAGCTCCCCACCTTACGGAGAGAATCATCTTTGGATATTTGAGTTCCGCTGACCTCGAGTACAGTACTAGATTCTTATTTTTTGTTGACCGCCCTGCGCCAACTCGGACCCGACATCTTTTACGAAGGGTCTGTCGATCAAATTTGCGTGGGCGTAGGATGTCGACATCTGAATATTCTAACGGGGAGAGACGGAGACACGTGGAGCTCAAATGCTTGAAAAGCCAAAGCGATGCTAGGTAGTAGAGAGATCACTCTTTTATCCAAAGCATGAGAAAGTCTACCGTCTCTGGTATGCTTGCAAAGTTTCAACCTCCCGAAACAGACTGGCTCTTACGGCAAGATAGCTCTACTCACGATAAAGTGTGGTATAATTAACTGATCCTGTGGTGCAGTGTAATGTTGCTCACTTTAGAATCGGGAGGTCTAGGGTTCAATCCCCCCGGGCCGGATAGAGCGGGGTTCGAGTGTAATGAATAAAACCCTACAGCAAGTGCTTGACATGGCTTACACGATACCTAAAAAGGGGGGACGTCTAAAACTATCTGAAGCGGTATATGGATGCGGAAGGTATTAGTGCAATCCGCACCGATACTGATACCGTCTATAATGCTAAAACCGTTGTCTATCTCAAAAATGGGCTGCGACCACCCCCGGATGTGAGAGTTATCAGCACAACAATAAAGGCCACTAACATACCATGAAAAGGAGTCCCGACAACATGCGACTTTATCGTTACAGATATTGTTGCGATGATATGCCTCATCTCGATACTTACTGTAAACGGTACCCATTTTGGCGTCCTAGCTTGGAGACCGCTAGAGCGACGCGCTGCGGTTCCGCCTGGACAGGGCAAACATAGCTGTCTTAATCTCTTGTTCCAGAAATCTATATATTTTTATCGGCATAATAGTAAAAAGGTTTGACATATAGCAACACCTGTCTTGATGTGAGAGTTGATCGTGCTTTCATAGACGTGGGGCCGTGACACCCATGGGGGTCATTATGAGTGCATTTTTCATAGCTGGTGATCGTCTCTGACGCCAATGCTGCTATTCTTAGATCCAAGTCAGCGCTGAAGCTTATTATATTTCGAAACAGCACGAGAGCGGATATGGGAATATCAACTCGGTAGTCGAATTGACGAGTGCTTCCAGTGCTACCAGCTGTATCCGGGTTATCATGCACATATAATTGGAATCCGCGTCAAGGAACTCAGCTTGACGCGATAAATTCGACGTCAAAGCGAGCCCGCTTATATCACAAATTCTCTGTTAATAGAAATCGAGAGTGATATTTGTAACGTTGTAGCTATCTTGAAATGTGTTTAGGTATATGTCTCGTTATCTGAGATGATAGAACTCCAATTAATTCAATGCATAAAACAAGCAGCCGGCGTCTCCCACGAACCTTAATTCGCGATAATTACCAATAATGATACACAACCATTAACCTTTGCCTCAGTACTACAGTGATTTGCTTATAGTCTGAGGTTAATATTGCAGTCTGTACGGATACGGTAATATAATACGTATATTGCAATATGATATGTAATCCTTTGTGATACTCTACCATCATACTTCCGAGCTTTTTTTGAAGTCCGAGAGAATAATGTATGGTATCCTTATAGCATAATGGGATATGTATCCCTTACACCGTGTGGTCGAATTATATATCGAAATACTGAATAATTGTACTAGTATATAGCATTTCTCGAATACGCGAAAGCAGAGCACACTTATTACACACATTGCTCTTTGATGAGCACTGTATCTACCTTTGAGTTAAACTATCTCAAAGTAATATCTAACAAAACCAGCTTAAGCTAAAGTAGTTATTTGTACATAATTACCGAGGGATTCTAAGCTTGTTTGGGCACCTTACCTGAGAGAAATATCAAAGCTAGCCAGAGAAATCAGTGCTATTGCAAAGCGAAACATATGCCCTCACTTCACCACAGCAGCCGTGATGTTTTAATAAAATACGAAACTTTGTGTTTTGGATTGCTCATGTTAGCTCACTGACAGAAATAATGATTAGTATGATGATACCGGGAGCGGAACGTACCGTGTTACAGTGAATATTATTGAGAGTATAAGCTAAATCCGGAGTTTACAACGAACTCATACTGTGGGACTTTGTATCCTTGTGAATAATTCATGATTTGTTCATTTTCTTTCCTCGGAATGACTAAATAGGCTAGCGACTACTCGCATTGTGGGGCTCACAGCTGTGAAATTGAGCTATTGAACACAATTTAGGAGCGCATCATCCAGTATGTGGTGGATATTCTAGTGTCTGCTGTGAGACTGGTGTGATTATGTATCATGTGAGCGCAAAGACTATCAAAATATCTATTTATCTGGAGAAGAGAAATTAAGACGGATATGCGCCAGATGGAGCAATAGTGCATTGAGCTAGTGATCACCAAGTGTGAAGACAGTGAGCGATGATAGGCTCTTATGTTCAGCAATTCAATTTGATAAAGATTTAATGCGGTATAGGTCGCAGATGTTCGTACCGCCTGACCCAGCATACTGAGTGCACTCAATATTCTTCTTCGCATATCAAGGGTGGCGAGAATCATTAAACTAAGTCTTAGAGCTTTCTTTGCCGTAAAGACGGCAGCCCTCTTTCAAGGCGAATATACTTACGGTCTTCATCAATGGTCTCCAAATAGTCGCAATTTGCATCGGCATCTAGCTAGCCCGTCCCACAAGCTCTTGTTCATTGAGTATAGTTCATACGAATGGGCTAAAGTTTAATTTTCAATCGCGGCCCGAACTTATCGACGTTGCGGTCGTTAAACACCGCCTGAGATGAATGGCATATTTTGCCACTATCGTTCGTTAGTTTGTGGATTACATATCGGCTATTCATCGACGACGTATATTGCAACATGGCTTGCTAGCGACCGTTTTTCCGAATCGAGATCTGCTCTGAACAGCAAATTATGCTGAAAATATTTTGATTAGCTGGGAAGCAGAGCGGAAATGTCCACCACTTTCCATACGCATGCTGATGTTCAGACAGAGCTTGATAAATCATGTGGCCGATAAAAATCTTTAAGCCACATGCTCAAAGAGTCCGCATTGCTGGGGCAAAATGCTCACTCATTGCATCGCGTCATATAACTCTGAACACACATCAATAGAGCTCACCGCATTCTATATAGTTTGCAAATCCTCGTGTTTCCCCACCATAACACGACTCCGGCCTTGATTGGGAGTAGTCTGTAGATACTTGTCGAGTCGCTGGTATTATTAACCCGGCTGCTCCACATAGAAACATTGCAAATTTGAACACGAACCATCAAGCGCCTGATGCGCAAACAAAGATTACGGGCCAGCCAGTGTAAGCAAAAAGCATTATGCAAATTTAGAGGCCGGCGGAACAATCGTAATTTTGTATACAATGAAAAGTTCTGGTCAAATAGGTCAATAATCCGTACGAATGTGAAACGCGTTGTGAAAGACGGAGCAGCGCCTCCACAATCCTCGGTAGCTGAGCTATCTCCTACTTTAGGTACGCGATGCGGCTCTAGCTCACGTGAAATCCATCAAGTCCCACCGTTTGACTACGTAGCTCATCCGAGACAAGGCTTTTCTACGCCGAAATTCTAGCGATCGCTGACGTGTCACTATTAATAAGGTAACTCACGAGGACAAACCACGGAAAGATGGTCCTTCGTGAGCAACGCTCGATGAGCAATAGGTAGTTCACTCCTATCTAGCGCGGCTAGTGAGCCAGTTTGTCAGAGATGCTACCAGTATCTGAAATAGTGATAGGAATACCTTTACTCCTTTGATTCATGAAAGTGTGAGCCTCTTCTTTGGCAAGGTTTTCCTGATGCCTTTGATGCTTAAAAAAGTTGGAGTATCCAAAAAAAATTATCGCTCACAGTGTTGCCTAGTACTGCGAGCATCCCACAAGCAGCTTTGGCCCCGCCTCGTTCTAAGTTGGGACTTTGCAGTTAGCAATAGGCTTTGGATTCAAGCAGAGCTGTTGACAGTAGGAACTAGAGGTAATAAACTCCTACCCTGACGTCCCTCGTGTTGCATAATCAAACATTAATCAACTACCTGTTGGATGTTAGTTTACTTCGTTTTTTCGTGAAGCTGCAAGATGAGTGAGGCATCGTGCATTTCTCACATAATTTGCATATCAAGTGCAATACGTTTTGAGACTTTTGCCAATATTCACTATTCAAGGTAAAGCTTTCAATGTGTGTACGACCACTGCTTTCTAGCCCAGATGAAATTTCTATAGAATATTCAGATAGTGCTTGTCGATCGTCTTTTAGGTAGCCGTTTTGCTATTGGGCTCAACGCGAGCACGCATTGCGCAACGGCTCCTCCGCGGTGTTGTATGCAACATCTGATGAACGTATTACATATGCATAAAGTATATAAATCATCGCAAATTATGCGTTTCCAAACGAGCTCAGTCAATTTTAGCTTATTGGTAACAAGCTGAACCTTGTCGTACGTTCTGTAGCGGGTTCATGACTCACTTTTTGCCTCAGGGTGCGAGCCAGAGTGCATAATGCCTGCAACAAAGCGGTGAAGCGCTAGTAACGTGTAGAACTTGGCTGTATATCTCTCAATGAAGACTACGGTACCGAACCGGGACTTGACTCGCCACTAATTATCCGATGAAGCCCGGCTTACTCACCGAGATAATTGTAAGGTCGTCAAATGCGTAAATGGAGCTTTGTTGAGCGGCTTATTGAGACACGGAATCACCATTACACCTCCAATGCGATCGATAGGTGCATTGGATCCATCATGTTATTCAAAAATTTCATGATGTATACGAACCTCTTGAGATAAAAAACTGGAAGGTGTTTGTAGTATAGCTAAGCTTAAAGCCCTGCCCGTACTCGTCATGCGCGCAATTTTGCGCAAAAAGAAAAGATAAGTGTGAGCTTATTGTAATTCAGATGATGAAGAGGAGGCTGGAACGAGGTACACACTGCATCATGGTGTACTTACAAATAACAGTTTTGTGCAGCTTTGCGGAACTTAGAAGTACCAAAGTACTGGGATAGATGAGTTCGATCAAACATCATTCGTGAGAGGTCTGTGGGACACGTAGGTTATCAGTAGGGGTAAATTTAATTGCGTAGCGCTTGAGCACCAGAATCTCGGTTCTACAGAAAACCATCATTCTCAAATTTACATGCAACTTTTTTTATGTATCATTTGAAAGATGCATTTGAAGTGGGAGAGGTGAAATTTAGCTGCGCTGAAATCGTCCTCAACGCGGCTATAAAATGTCGTCGAATCAGCACGTAGTTAGCATGGATAGAAAAATTTATCTTTATCATCACTTGCTTAAGCGACTTGTAAGGCGATTTTGAGTCTCTGCACAATCGCATGTCACTCTCAAAAAAGTGCATGCTGAATGTGCCTGCTATTGTCAGTTACACGGCACTTTTGCTCATTAAGTTTGATTAAAACTTTTTATCAGATACATCTTTCGTATCGGGGTTACACATACCCTGGTATCAGGGGTGTGTGTCACACCAGATGGGCATGATGTGACCACACCCAAACAAGAATACGATACGGGGCTGGATAGCCAGTAGTTATACATGTTTTTAGATATGACGATACATATTTACGAAAATCGATGCGCTTATAATTAGGCGCCTTTGCCGCAGATAATAATAAATAAAGTTAGTTTTGAATTTAAACTCGAAGAGTTTATAAGCCTTGGGTTAAGGCTATAATTACTCTTGTAGTAAGCGGATTGCGATCCTCTAAACTCGTACTTGTTCTGAGTATAGAACGAAAGGTTGGTGACCTATTTATTACGCTTCCTCAAAGCGCAAAGCTACGGCAGCACCGCTGCAGTATAGAAGACATTTGACCAAGCCGTTCACCGGGAGAAAGCGCTCACTGTGCTTCGCCTCGATTCATATACTCCATACTCTGTGCTACAGCGAGTTCAGCTGCAATACCCTGCTGGGAACTCACGACAACTTGCAGTTCGCCATTACACGCTTGCCTTTCTTCAAGTACAACCGTCAAACTGACCCTGGTCAACGGTATAAAGCCAATATTATGGTCCGAGCCATCAATATCTATTCGCACGGAGGACGAAGCAATCTTCGTAACTCATAATCACAATCCAACAAGAATATCGCCTACGTATAGAACAGTAGCGACCGGGAAGCCCGTACTCTTTATGAGAGTTATGCCTAAAATATTGAATGTGAGGGAGAGTACTGATGAGCAATATACTCATCCCGCGTACTACATAAGAAATATTAAACTCGGACCAAAGTTTTGCAAGCTAGCAACGGCAAATCGTATGTCCGAAAATAGCGTCAATCAATGCTTGAGGCTGTAACGTACGCAGCATGACGGGGGCGTGTCGGAAAAGAACTGTAAGTTGAACGACTTGCTTGATGCTCTTGAGTGCAATCAGGTCGTGGTCATTATAGAAAGAATTGTGGACGTGAAAACAACCGTTTGCTGGATGAGTGCAAATTCCCGTCAGTATGCATAACGGCTGATCTCACTCAGGAAGACGAGGCGCAAATATATTACCTCCAGCACTTGCTGCTATGAGTTCTTCTTAACGCCATGCGACAGCTAAATCAGCTATCGAAAAAGTTTCGAGCTTACGACACGGTCAGGCCCCTTTTGCTAGTTGGAAGCGCGCTGTGCTGGGCGACCGTTTGTCTTCTCCCGGGAAAATGAAGGCCGAGGGTTAACCCGGTTGTGCACCCGAACAATCGTTATCAAAGTGGAATTGGAATCATGGGTATGTATAGTCAGAATATCTTTTCTGTTTTATCAGACATGGAAGTAGACCTGGTGTATCCGTCAGCCCAAAAAGTACTCTACGTTTTAGTAACTCACCCTCTGCTTATCATGTAGTGTCAGCGCATGAGAATACTCTGGCGGCGTGATCTCAACATCTCCCACGGTTGTGGCGGCCTGTTGACCCTCTCCGATCGTGTCTGTGTGCACCCAAAAATGGTACATGTTACATCTTGGTCACTACTCTGAACAACGCCATCACACTGAGAGACTGAAAACACCTTTCACTATCCTAGACAGGAAATGTCACGTGACTGCATGAAATTGTAGAAATGGTATCCACCAAATACATTAATAACTTTTACTTTCGCGATCGTAATTCGACACCAAGATTTCATTAAAACAGAGTATGTGTTTACAATTTCTCGGGGCTGCTAAGGATACAAGTCGACCCCTTTTTTCTATGACAGCGGGAATTACGATTTAGTTCGTTTTTGGATTAGTCTTTCAGTCCGCAAACAATAGGTACAATAACAGCGTTCAATATAACCGTTTCTGCAACATATTCAACTAAGTGTCTCACTGTCAGCCAAAGCGTCGCGCAAACGGCGTATGACTTGACTTTGCTACAAAATTGAGCCAGAATAATATTAGCAAGTCGAATTGTATCAATAGCCCCTCCGCCACCAAATCCGGTACACCTTGTAACGCTACCAAAAAATTGGAGTGAATCAGACGATTTCTACGAAAAGCGGTATGTCTTTTAGCGGCATGCACTGCGTTTTGAAGGAACTTCAATGAGCGGAAGAATTGTGTTTAAGCACCGCGGTATTTCCGCGCAAATGCTTTAATGAATATTTTCCATCACATGATCAACAGGTTTCGTCTAACCATGTGTTTGCGGATGGGTTAGTAGCTGACATGTTTAATCAAATGCGTAGTATTTTGCTCAATTTTTACGAGACCTTCACTGTCAAGCGCGGATTTTGATCCGACGCTATGTTTACCGGTAATCGATGTCGGTAAGAAACAATGTCGAGAAAGAGCTTTATTGTACCCAGTTATTATTTGCTGATGACAACGGGATGAATCGGTTTGATAAGAAGACACAAAAACCGCAATGCCAGTATTATTGAGCACAATATTTGAAAGATCAAAAACAGAGCTCATATTTAAGCAGGCTGATCAAAAGTGACTACGCAATCGGCGAGAGTATAAGCCGTTGACACATTCCACACATGCGTTAATATTTGCTTATTCACACATGCATACATGACTTCAATACATAGGGCTAAACGAGCGTGCGATATTTGTTACTTGGGGTTTTCATCATGAGGAGACAACACACATCGAGTGTCAGCGGGTATGTGCTTTCAATCATTTTTTTAGATACACGGAATATCATTACAAACGTACAATTACACGCTTTGACAAGCAAAATGTATGCTCAAAACCGCTTAGTTTCCGAAGATTTCAGCCAAGACATGTTGAGTATGATCCGTACGTCGTGTGTATCGCCACCAATACGCAAAATTACCAGTAAGACATGCGATCATTGTCGTAGCGGCGGGAGCGCATCCACCTCCACTTAAAGCTGTTTGATACCTTACTTTGGAGGCAGACTTGACAAAGAAGGATTATCATCATGTCATACGACGGCGTCGCTATGCGCAACGACACAGACCACACTCTTCGGCATAATTTGATCTTGACCATTCGTCGCATATGCTTTGTAAGTCCGAGCACGCGCTAGTGTAGTATATCGTGAGACCATAATGTAACGTATTGCCTTTGTGTTTGACTTGTTCCCCATTTCACGCTCAAAAAAAACTTAAGACCTTCAAATAAATAAAAAATAAGACTGTGAGAAAAATCGTCACTTTAATCTCATCCCGCTGATACTACGCAAACTCGAAAGATGATTTGATTTGCCATTCAGTAAGACACAGTTTCAGGGTCATCAACACAGCTAATGACGGTCATGTAGTCGCAGCCGATGGATATTTAGCTGCTCGACATAAGAGTTGGCTCACAATACATATGTATAGCAGAGCGGGAAATGTAAAGACACTGCTGACGTCCCTAAGCGGGAATATAGAAAACTCGCAACTGCTGATTTTGGTACAGCGATATTTATGGAGTTTGTAATGTACGTGCTTATTTTGTGGTCAAAGCGATGAGTTCACCGATGAGATAATGATTATTGTGATTCAGTGAAATATAAAGAAACATAGACATGTGTTACCTCTGACTGAAGCGCTTATACTGCGTTTTCGTCAAGTCGTTACCACCATCTGTACTAATGTTCGTTCTCGCTCACCATAAGCCCCACAGCTCTTCAGTATGGGTTCTAGACTGGGCAACATTCATTGATCTGCCTCCGTCGAGTGTTTGTTGTTGAAAAGACCATTACTTTTTGTATTCTTATCGGGCAAATGCGTAAGATGATGAGGAAGCTGGTACTGATAATGTTTGTCGCCTCGACTCTTTTTTCATCCTTGACTGCTTTCGCCTTTGAAGACTCTCAAACGGCCGGGAAAAGCGACATTATTGGAGCCGTTATGCCTGTCGACACCTTGCTGGAGACTAGCCCGATAGATACAGAAGCGGGGGCTAAACTAACTACCACCTCAGATAACGACAGTGTGAACGGTGCAACACCGTCACCCACTGTTCCTTTAGACACGTCTATCGAGATTGCAGAACAAACACAACTCCCCACAGACGAGCATTCAGTCCAAACGCAAGTGATTTTTATTCCTGTGCCATGTCACAATTTCACGACACTATCAGAGGTTCCGCCGATGCCGTCTGCGCCGGATGATATTTCTACCGAGGGCGTGGGGCAAGCAAAATTCACCCCAGCCACTGGTGTTTCCATCCCGGGAGTTGTTCAGCCACCTTTTCAAGAATTTCCGGTCTCTTCAAACAATGTAACTCCAGCGCCGAGCTTACCCACAGCAGAAGATGAGCCAGTTTTTCCAGCAATTGAGGATTCTTTGGATCAGCTAACTACAACGAGTGATGAGACAGCACATGTCAATGCTCCGGATCTACCGCTACCGCAGCTTGATTCTGAAGCACCTTATCCGCCGGATGCATCACAAACATCTTTGAAACAGTCCGAGGAGACTCCAGAGGCAAGT